TGTGATGTTTGTGATTAAATTTTGAGTTGTTTTATATTTTGAATGTTGTGGCGGTGAATTTTATCTTGATTGATTTTAGTTTTGGTTTTGGGTTTTGGTTTTGTGGCTATCCTGATAGTTTTAGTTTTCATGCAGGGTGACATCATTGTTTAGCATGTAAGTTTTATGTTTTGTTCATACATGCAGGTAAGTAAGCACAGTGTAGGAAAGCTTAAGACAAGTTTTATGTTTTGTTCATACATGACGAGTCTTCTCGTTCCACCACTTGAAACTCAAAATGCATGTTAAAACATTTTATGTAAAGCCAAAAAAGTAGTGTTTTAGTGACCTACCTAACCCTAGGTCATATCTTGGTGGGTCCCTATTAGTTTGATTAAGAATGTTTTTTGTTAAGCAAAACATATAAAGTTTAGTTGACCTCTGAGGTATCCAACAGGTCTAGAAGAAGAAGCAGGTCCATGCTTCTCTCTCACTACCTGGTGAAAAGTTTTGAGCTCATTTAAACTTATTATGTTGCTTAATAACACATCCTGTAAATACCTTTAATGCTCAATGAACATCGATGTTTTAATTATCCCTAAGAGTAGGGTAATTATCTCACCTCACCCATGGGTCAATTAAGACATTAGAGGAGAAAATGTGATTTTACAAAATTTGATTTAATTTACATATTTATTTTAATGCAGAAATAGGATTTTTCAAAGAAAATTCCATAACTTGATCAAGGGAAAGCCTAATCCCTTGAAATTTTTACTGGAGGTAGACTTAAACAAGGGAAGAATTGGGGCCAAATTTCATGATTTATTGAATTAAATTTGAATTTTAAGAATTATTTTAAGTTCATAAGTATTTATTAATTATAAAAAGTTTTAATTGTGTAAAATTAGTTTTTAAATTTTTATTAAATCTCTCTAATGTCAAGGAATCCAGAGAAACAAATTTCATATTTTTTTGATTTTATTTGAATTTTTAGAATTATTTTTGTAAAAAATCCATTTTTAGCCTTTGAAAATTATTTTAAGCTATAAATTCAATATATTTACTTAGAAAATTAGGAAAAAAATATTCCAACTGTTTCTAAGTGCTTAGGAAACAATTTAGAACATTTCCATGAATTTTATTATTTTTGTAATTTTTATCATTTTTTAATTATTTGAATATGAAAAAAAAGACTTGAAAATTGAATTTTTATTTTAATTTCAAATTTATTTTTATAAAATTCCTCTGATGACAAAAAAAACTCTAAAAACTAATTTTTATAATTTTTTGAGTTATATTTTAATTATTAAAAATCCTTTTAGTGCCAAAAATGTCATTTAACTCAAAAAATCAATTTAAGTTATTGAATGAGCTCCAAATGTTTTGAAATTTTTATTGGGAGTTCTCTGAACTTTAAATCATAGTGG